TTTGTTCTTCTTTACATAAATTTTTTTTTTTTTTTAAATACCAATTCACCCCCCCTCTTAGTTAGCCTCGGGCCAGTTCTTAAGGGCTTAACATCCCTAACGAACTTTCAACCCTAACGCTTCCAAGGTTGGCGGATGATCTGGTTACCTCTCCAAGGGTTCTCTCCAAAGCTCTCATGCTCTCAAGCTCTCAAGACAAGAGTTGCAAGAAATTTTCTTATTATCATTCATTAACCCTCAAAGAAGAAATGGGAGGCTTTAAATAGCCAATATAATGAGAAAAATACAAAGTACTACTGTGCCCCTAGGGCTTACACATACTTTAAGCTCTTAAGTAAGGGCAAAAATGGAAAACAAAAATAAAATTTCATAAATAAAACTAATACATCAATAATAAATTTGAAAATCAAAATTAGAGCGACGTAATAGTGGCTGTAGATCGACAACCACGCCTCTAATAAACTTTCCATGTCCTAATGTCCTCATCACTCTCTCAGGGTGGAAAAAAAGCTCGACTCCATCGAGTACGCATCCCGGGTGCTCTCGTAGAACTCTAGTGCATCTTGGTCGATTTATTGATATTCCTCGCTCTTTAACCAAATGTCCTCTGACTTTGGCTTGCCTCTTCACCTAATTAAATACCTTCTTTGACCACCCTCTTTTGTAGAGAAACATCAGCAGTTAAAATCATGTCAACCTTCTCCGCTATAGGTATTTTGGAATCATTTGGGAGTGGAGGTAAGCTTGGGTTCTCACAAGGTGGGGTCACATAATGCTTAAATTGAAGTGGAGTGTGGCTAGGGAAGCTTGGGTTCTCACAAGGTGGGTTAAACTTATAATTAATGTTGCTCTTCTCAATTTTGCGTGCAATTTCCATATGTAAGTCATGTAGATGCAATGCAAATGTGGATGCAGACTCAAAACTCCTATACTTAGGACACATGGGTATGATATATATCGATGGTCCAGGTTTGAACCCATAAACATTTTCGACAGGACTTAAACTAGTGGTATAGGTCACGGAATCCTGGTAGGCGAACTCTACTGTGGAGAGTTTAGATAGGGAGGCTCCAGAGATATCAATGTCAAATAGACAGGGACAACCTAGAAGGATTTGTCCCACATTCATAATCAACACATCACACTAAATATTCTCCTTATAGTCAATAAAGTAGATAGGTATGAAGCTTCATCCTTTACTTCCAAGGTAGTGATGTATACCCAGGCTACCTTATAGGGGTTGGGGTGAGTAACTACAGACAGGCCAAGCTTAAACACCATGCTGGAGGAGACAACATTGATGCAGCTGCCATTATCTACGACGACTTTACAGTTCTTATCCTTGATTTTTGGTGTAGGTGTGAAAGATCGTAGTCCTGCGCCAATCGTCAATGGAAGCGGGTTGTGAGAGTGCACATCTCACCACGCAGGTGGGAGAAGTGTCAATTTATTAATGTATTGGATGACAGCAGTGTCATCATCCTCCTCAAAGAATTCACCATCATTGTCTACTTGATGAATATGATCGACTTTGGGCTCAAATTCTTCCTCAGTGATCTCGTGACTTTATAGGAACTAGAGCACTGAGAGGCTATATGCCCATACCCCTGACATCTAAAGAACTTGGTCCCGGGGTTGGACTGAGGGGTATCCGGAGTGGGAGGCTTACGTTTAACATCAGGACGGGGGGACAAGCGAGGGTCGGGTATTGCTTCTTGGGATCGGCTGGGTAGTGGAGGAATGAGGTGAGGCACTACCGGAAGTTTTGTATGGAAGCCTAGAGTCATGGTGTCAACTAGGGTGTTGAGAACGGGTTTCCTCTAGATCTAACACTAGACTGTAGGCATTTTTAAGGGTAGTGATGTTCCAGGTTAACAGTTCGTTACAAAGATCCTCTCACAACCCAGTACGAAACATGGATAGAATCTGTGCGGGCGTAGTGGAGGTCTCCCCTTTACAATGAATCAGGTAGTCGTCAAAAGATGCAATGTGCTCCTTAACTTATTTGTTTCCCTGAGTCAACCTATTCTATATATATAATAACTTGGGGAAGTACGAGGGAGGCAAGTACTTCTGCTTAAGCTCACGTTTCATGGATGGCCAATCAGTGATGAGATACTCATTTCAAGCTTCTAAAGGCTTTTTAAATTAGACCAAAATTGACTAACCATACCAGTGAGTTTCATCTCGGCAAAACTAACCTTCCTAGCTTCGGATTTATTGTACCACTTAAAGAAATTATCCATCCCTTTTAATCCATTCTAGAAAATGTTGGGGATCTATGATTCCGTCGAAGGTAGGAGTGTCAACCTTGATATTTTTCATTAGTGGAATATCAGGGTCAAGGTGGCGATCGTGTCCATAGTGGGGAGCTCGATGAGGTGAACGAGGAAGGCCCTCATCTTGGTAGGTGTCGTCCTCGTACATGGATGGAGTTCTAAAAGGTGTGTAAAGGGGAGGAGGGTTCCTACTTCGTTCTAAGGTATCGAAGCGTTCCGTCGTCTAACGATAGAGGTCAGCTAAGTCAGCCTAGTTTTCCTTGAGTTGTTGGCCAATGTTATCCATTTGACCTACCAACAGGTCTAAAGTTCTGCCAAGTTGTTTAGGGTCAATTTGGATACACTATAAGTTACTAAGGGTTATAGGGGTTTGATGGGTAGCACCTAAAAATATATGGAATGTTCCTAAAGGATTACTAATTGAATCAAAATGTGATGGACAGCAAACACGCAATATATTAAATGATAAAAAATGTAAGGTTAGAATAATTTGCTAAGCTTAACAATGGAAATTTAAAACTCTAGATGGATTCTACCACATGCAACTAGAGCAAACCATGCTCTGATACCGGATGATGCAAGACATATATGAAATTATGATTTAGATAAGGATTTTGCATGCTTGATTTTTAAGAGCAAGTTAATTAAAGCTTTATGGTGAGCTAAACAATGAAATAAAATACAGAGAGTGGTAAACACAAGCTTAGCCCAAGTTACTCGTGAAAAGTAAAAAATCACATAACAATCAATTACTCTTGAAGTTGAATACGAGATGGGTTTCAACAAGAAATCCCTAATCTAACAATAAGAGTAGGGCTATAATAGATCTCTCACACAATTCCTACTAAACACTAAGCTTTAGTAGAGCGTTGCAAGATTTTGCTTCAATCAATCATAACCACTAGGATCAACAAGGAAGATATAAGAAAAGGCAAGAGTTCACCCTTTGCTAAGATTCAACCTTCTCGAAAGCTTGGACAACAGTTGGAGGCTTCTTAGACGGCTCAGACATCAATAAATTCAAGCTCGAACCTTTTAACAGCAAGTAACCAACCTGTGACAACAATTCTTGAATTCCAGGTAGCAACAGTAGCTCCCAAGGGGATGGATGATAGGAAACACTTGTTGATCTCAAGTATTTCCTATCAATCTTCATAAAATAGCAAGAATTCTTCATGAAAATCCGCACAAAATCATAAAAATAGTAGATAATTGGTATTATTTGATAAAAGGAACATGAAAAATAGCAACATACACTTGATCCTCAATTCGAGAGGAGGATTGATCTCTCCCAAATCTCTAGATGCCGCTAGAGCCTAAAGAAAATCTAAATCTAAGAGATCTCAAATAACATCCAAATTCAAGATGCCCTAACCCTAGGAAAATAAACTATTTAATGGATACAAATCAAAAGGAAATCTCTAAACAATCCCTACATTCAAATTTCCCTCTTAATTCCCCCAAAAAAACTTCTTATTCGGCTCCCGCAAGGCTTGCGGCTCGCGGGGCATCTGTCATAGGCAGAAAGGATCCGCTGTTTAGTATTTGGGCCGATCCCGCGTGGACCGGGTGGACCATTCCACTGGACCGGTCTAACAATACTCCCCTCCCGAAGATACACCTTGTCCTCAAGGTGGAGATATGCTCGTGTTCCCGTAGACATGGCCATCCTTGAGGTGGCTGAAAATCTCTACCAACTTATTTCAAAATAGGATTTATAAATTAGGCAACTATTTCAAATTCAAAAATATTTGAATTCAATCATTAATAGAGTTACAAAAAATATGAAAACTAATTTAGGAAAGACTTAATGGCAAGTGGAGATGGGAGGAAACCAAGGGGAGGGCCGGCGGCTTGTGGCTTGGACGTGAGTGGTGGTGGGGGGGGAAGCTGGGCTTGGGTGGAGATGGGTGAGCTAGCCGACGGTGAGGGTGAGGCTAAGGAGGCCGGTGGCTTAGTGGTGGTGACGAGATGGTGGGCTGGTGGTGTAGGGTGTAGAGGGGAGATGGGTTGGTTTGGTGGGGGGGGGAGGAGTTGGCCGGAGTCAATGTGGAGTGTGGCTAGGGAATCCAACGACTAAGTGGTTAGGGGCCCTAGGCCGGCGGCTAGGAGGAAGGGGAAGGGAGAGATGAAGCCAAAAAGAAGAAATAAAATAAAATCCACGAACCCGGGCGCTTCCAATGTTGGTGGATGAATCGGTTCCCTCTCCAAGGGTTTTCTCCAAAGCTCTCACGCTCTCAAGACAAGAGTTGCAGGAAATTTTCTTATTATTATTCATTAACCCTCAAAGAAGAAGAGGGAGGCTTTAAATAGCCCATACAATGAGAAAATACCTATGCCCCTAGGGCTTAAACGTATCTAAGCCCTTAAGGGCAAAAATGAAAAAGCATAATAATGCTTCATAAATAATGCTAATAAATCAATAATAAATATGAAAATCAAAAGCAGAGCGATCATGGCCGTAGATCGACGGCCACGCCTCTAATAAACTTTTCCTGTTATGATCTCCTCATCATGATTTTCTTACTTTCGGCCTCATGAGAGGATTACCAATCTCACCTTGCACCTCTTCCCCTGCCTTAAGCTGGAGGAAGACAAAAGTGAGCAATTGGAAGCCAACGCCGGTGTCAGGGATAGCGTCAATCGGCGGCGAGGCAGAACAAATCTGTTTCGGCAAGGTAGCTTGATGCGAATCTCTAAGAGGTGCAGGATTTGTTGCCCATGGTCGGTATTAGTCAAAAGAGCGGGCGACTTCACTGCCGTGGGGATTTAGGAAGGGATCCTGATGATTTCTTGCCTGTTTGTTGTGTTGATCTTCCTAAGAGTGCTGGTTGTTTAAGGTGGCATGTTGTTGCTTCATTATCCCAACACCACAAGTCGAACGAAAGGGAAGAATCATGCTTTACAGCTTGTATCTCCTGCAACCTAGGTAGCTCCATCGAGGTTACCCCTTTTAAGCCATCGACTAATCCTGGCTGCTCACTAGATCTAAAAGGTAGGATTGAAGATGCAGTTTATAGCCTCAAAACATCAACTGAATTATTGAAGGTTTTGAATCGTATTTGGAGCTTGGAAGAATAGCATGCATCTAATGTATCTGTAGTTAAAGCATTGAAAGTGGAGTTGGAACACGCAAGGCCGCACATTCAGGAGCTGAAGCAAGAGAAAAAGGGCCGTCATCAGGAAATGGATGATTTGATGAATCAAATTGCAGTAGATAAAGTAGTTAGGAAGAACAAGGAGAAAGATAGGATGAAAGCTGCTGTTCAGTCCATAAGAGAAGAGCTAGATGATGAGAGGATTTTAAGAAAACGGTCAGAGAATTTGCATCGTAAATTGCGAAGGAGTTATATTAAACAAAAACTACATTATTGAAGGCTCTTAAAGATCTAAAAAATGATAGGAAATCAAATTGTTTGTTAGAGGATCTTTGTGATGAGTTTGCAAAGGGAATTGGGCAGTATGAAAAAGAAATAAGAGAGTTAAATATACACAAAGGTTTGCAAGCGTAGGGTTGATGGTTTACTGCTTTGTATATCTGAAGTATGGTTGGATGAGAGATTACAGATGCAAATGGATGAATCTTGCAGCGAGCAGGCTAAAAATGGTACCATATTAAGCAGATTGGAAGATGAAATTGTTTCAGTTCTTCAAGTTAGATGAGCCAACAGCATTAAGGAGGACAGTGAACAACAATGTCATAATTTGCATCGTCAATCTCTTGAATCCTTCCCATTTGAATGGGACCATTAGTGGGCCTCGTGATATTGAAGATGATGAACTCATTGCTTTAAGCTTAACATGGATAAAGCTAAAGGAGCTCATGATCAATTAAGATCATGTTGTACAATTAATTCCAGAAACTTAGAATCTACTAGGAAATCTTTTTTCTGGTAGAAAAATAGTAAGATACCATAGAAGTATCAAAGCTAGAGTTTATCCATGTCACAAGAAGGACTAGAAAGGAAACTTGAAAGCATGGAGTTGGGTTCAGATGTTTATTATGGAATTGCTGAAGCAGATAAGGGTGAAGCTACTACTTCAGCTGTGACCATGAAGCAAATATTGATGCTGTGGATGGCTCAAACCTATTGACTCATTACATGTTCAAGAACCATTTGGATAATTCTAGCGTTTGCAAGGTTCATCATGTTAACTATAAAGGTGAAATAAGCCATAGCAAACTCTCGTGAAGAGGACAATTTCTTCCAAAGTTTGGGCACAACATTACAAGAAATTCAATCCTTGCATCCAGTCCATGTGCAACTGTGGAATCACAGTCGTGCGGGTATAACATTCTTAACTCAAAACCCCGTTGTTGGTGTTCGCGACATACCGGAAAATCATCCACATGTTTTTTCTCTAGTGTGGTGGGATGTGATCCTGGTGTGATGCCTACAGCGAGGCGGGTAAACACTGTATACACTTTTGTCTAGTGTGGTGGGGACAAGTGTAAGTACCCATAGATGCTTTAACGCCTACGAGGAAACAATAGGGAATTTCAAATAGGTACCCCGCAGACCCATACAAGTCTTTCTCTAGCGTGATGGGGTTGAAGACTACGGTTGCGGTGTCACCCGACACCAACCGTACACATCTTTCTTGATATGGCAAGCAGGCTAAGACTCATGTAGTTTCCCTCATACGAGGGAGACGTCGGGAGGTTCTCGAAATTTGAATCGAAGACGCACAAGACTTAGACAAATTAACAGTGGACTTGATTTGGATCACAGGGAACTCACAAATTGAACTCAAACTAAACTCAAATAATTTGAAACTTAAGCTTGAACCAAATGACTTGTAGCCTAACTTGAACTTGGACTTGTTGACCTAAACATCAAATCAAAAAAATATATTACAACGTAAATCCTGCCGGAAAACCTACAAAAACCCTACGAAATACCTGTAGCTCGGCGCCGCTTATGTCTCGATCGAAAATCCTGCCAAAATCTCCCGATCTTTCTACACCTTGTAGAATGGCCCTTCTTGTCGTTACAAAGAGAACAAAGAGGGCTTCACGGGTTGCTCTTCCATTTGCTACCCACGCGAGAGCTCCCTCCATCCCAATCCCCTTGCTTCTTTCTATCCACACACACACACACACACACACACACACACACACACACACACACACACTACTCATTATTTATAGTTAATCAAAATTAATATTAGTCATAATTAATATTAATTATGATTTATTAATGTTAAGAATAATTAATTATAGTTAAGCATAATTAGTTATTTTTTATAATTAATCAGAATTAATTTTAGAAGTTTATAATTAATTCTAATTAATTATGTATAATATTATCATTAATTATAATCGACTATAGTTAATTATAGTTAATAATTATTATCTATAATTTATATTAGTTGACTATAATTACCTCACTCTACGTGCCAAATCCATAGCCGTCCGTGCAAAGGTATAAAAATTTTCTAACTCAAAAATCCTGCTCTCGACTTAGAGACGAGCCAGCAAACCCCCTACGCGGTCAGTAGCGTAGTACAGAGGGAAACCGGCACGATGCTTGCGATGAGGTGGGTAATCTCTAGACCACTCTTGTAGCGTGAGGGAGACGAAAAATAAGTACCCATACGTGGAGAAATCCATGTGCTCTTTTCAACAGGTGCCCAAGACCCTGAAATGGTCATGTAGCGGGCAGAGATTGAAGAATTTGTGTCCGCGGTGTCATTTTACACCTACCTAAAGAACTCAAATAGCAATGAGGGGAAGGCTAGTCTCCCAAAATTTTCCCTAAATGGGGGAGACACCGGGAGGTTGTCGAAATTCCGACTGAAGACACATGGAACTTGAATAAATTTGGACAAATAAAGGACTTGATTTGGACAATGAACTAAAGTTAAAATTGTGCCTAAACCAAACTTAAATGAACTCAAATCTAAATGAAATCGAACATGAATTTGAACTTGCAACAAATGAGTATGAATTGGACTCAGACTTGAATTTATAAGGACAACAAGAGGCATACAACTTGTACTTGCTACTAGAATGACAAAGAGCTTGGATTAACTTTGGACAGCAGGGAATGAGTTTTAAAACTCAAATGATTAACTAAGAACTTGAATGAACTAAGTATAATTCAATAAGCTTTGATTGTATAAGACTTGAATATAAATTTTACATAGATTTGAATATGATTGTCTATAAGAAATTTCAAAATGTTAAGAATTTTCATTTCAAGGCAATTGTTAAATTGGAAGGTATCATTCAAGCCTTGTGCAAATAAGTAGTGATGACTTGTAAATGACATAGTCAGGTTTCGTGTTATGATGCTTTTAATGAATAGCAAAATTTGCATGAGAATTATGTCAACTGATTTTTGATATTCATCTCAAACACCCAATCAAGTGGTTTAAAACTATAGTGATTTGAAACAATTATATCCAATAGCAATATGTGAACAAATAATAGAGGAGCCCCATGAACATTGAGAAAAAGCAAACAACAAGCATAGCAGATTATTGACAAAGGTATGTGAGGAAATCTACCTACAAGTGATAACGCAAAAATCTATAGTCGATTCATGAAAGCCACGTCAAGTAGAAACATGTTGCTAATTAACATACAAAAGGTTGGTATTATCATTCATATTGTAAGAACATCATGGTGGATGTAATGATGCACTTGCTATAAAACCTAAAAATGACGATCGTATGTCGTCGCACGCTTTTCGATGCATCGCGACGAGACAAGTGAAATTTTTTAAGTTAACGGAATTTGACGAAAATAATTTTATAAAATCCTATAAAAAATTCTAATCGTTTTGATATATAGAATTTGTATCCAATTTCGCTTAAATTGGAGTTATTTTTGGAAGCTTCTAAATTCCCATTTTACCCTTACTCTTTTCTTAAGCCGAAATTACTTAAGGGCATAATGGACATTTGGAAAATCCCCTTATCTTCCTAATATAAGCAAACCGAAACATTCCCTCATCTCCCATTCAATATTTTCGGCCAAACCAAGCGGAAACTAGAGGGGCGGACGAGGGCAAGGAGTGCGGGCACGATTCCAAATGTGATTTTTTGATGAAACATTTAGGGAAAATCGAAGAGGAGGTCAAGGGAAGAAGAAGGTATGTCTTAGAATTTTATTTCCTCATCTAAATCTCAAGATATTTGGTAGTGAAAAATTTAGGGTTTTTCCAAAATTTGTTTTTCTTTTGTAATTTCTTTACAAAACCTTTAAGGAAGGATTAGAAGAATGATTTAACGATGAAAATAAAGTTTTTGGAGAAAATTTTAGAGGATGAAATTTTAGGTCTTTACTAAAACCTAAATTTCTATAAAGTGCTTTTACAAAAGTTATTCCTAAGGGCATTAGGAATGTTTTAAAGCATAAATTTAGATTTTTTAATGAAAAATTTATTTATTTTTAATAATTTTCCTAATTATTTAATACAAAAATTAATAAGATTTTTATTAAATAATATTTAAGGATAATTTTGATATAAAAATTTGAGCAAAATTTAAGATTTAGGGTTTCCAAAATTTTGGATTTTAAATAATTCCGAAAATAAAAAATTAATTATGTTAATTATTGAAAATAATTATGATGTGTGCTTAGTTCAATTGTAACTATCTTTAGGTGTGGATTTAGGTGAAGACATGTGGTTAGACAACGTCATGCAACGTTGTGGAGGTGGTTCGATACTTGCAAGGTAGGTGAATTACATTTAAATTGAGTTTATGAAATTTAATTAAATATTTTTGCACTTTTAAAATGTTACAAATTAATGTTCATGAATTTTCTATTATTGATTTAGCATTACAATTCTTGTTTATACATATGTCACATTACTTAGAATGTTAAAAAAAGTAAACAATTTCATGTTTAAGAGATACAAAAGTTTCTTTACCCGAAAAACATTAAAGATCATTTGATGCATTGAATATGTTTTAATTCTTTGATGAATATAGATATTATAAACTGTATGTGGATGTTGATCCGGAAGTGCCAAACAAATGGTAATGAGATTCTACGGCGCCAAATGGTAAAGGGGCTTGCAAAATTCAAATTGTAATGGAGTTCTTTGGAACCAAATGGTAAAGGAAACGACCAAAAGATTGTGTACCTGATCAGTACAAATACTGGTACTTTCAGGACAGGTGTTTATCATATTATGACTTTGAAAGTTATGCATTTAATGAAATGATTTTAGGAAAAGGAAAATTTATGGAAAAGAAAGAAAAGAATGATATGGAAAAATAAAAATGTCTTAAGAATAATTATTGAAACTGTTTTATAAATTCATGCATAAATGCTTATTCTGATCTTTTAGTATTTCATGATTAATGACATATTTAAGAAAGATAAGAATTTTTTTTTATAAATTTAAGATAAATTTTTTTCACCTGCTGAGTGTTGACTCTTCCTACGTTTAAAAATATTTTTCAGGAGAAATTATTAAGAAGTGATGGGTACAAGACTGCAGTATACCTAACATCATAGAGGACCTCGAAAAAAAGAAAGGTTTTTATATTTTATGTTTTATGTTGAGTCTTTAATCTGTATCTATCAAGTTTGTGGGAGTTTATGTAACTGTTGATTATTTAAGTTTTAAGTAGTTGTGTGAGAAGAAACAAATTTGAACAATTATTGTATTGATGTTTTCTTAGTGGCTCTTTCT